CCCATTCGGTGAGGAGAGAGACAACTCCCCAAGGGTGAAGAGTGAGTAGCGGCAGATATCACAACACGAACCTCGTGAAGGTCTCGGATGATCCTCATGTGCTTGCGACTGAGCTTGGCTTGAGCAGCTCGCAGCTAGGGAGGTCAGTGATGCGTAGAGGCCTCGAGTCCCTGCAGCAGGTAGTACCAACAACTCCCACCGGTGCGGTCAGCTAGACTCCGGACCTGGCAATCACCTGGTCACCGACTGCGGACTTTCGCAGTGAGCTCATGGCAAACTGGCTCAAGTTTTCGGCTCCAAACGTGTTGTGACGCAGCATTGAGTAGCGCGGCGCGTTTTAGCTGTAACTCGCTGGCCCCTGCTTCGTAGCACGTCCCAGCCATAGCCGGTAACTTGTTTCACCAGGTGTGAGGAAGCTTGCCACCCGAAGCGTGCACGAAGCTTGCTCCGGCCGGCGTTGCAGCCTTACGGGAGGCAAATGAAGAGATGCAACCTGACCGTGTCACCCTGCTCCAAGATAATGCAGAGGCATTGCCAGAGGTTGTTCGCATGCCGGGCCAGAGGAACCTGCCAATCCGGTGAAGGAGGGACTGGAGAAGAAAAATCTGAGGCGAGCTATCCTGAAGCTTAAGCAGTTGGGAAACAAGAAACTCAGCCAGCAGGAAAAAATCCTTCAACGAGGCAAAGGAGCACCTTTACTCCTTGCTTCGCAACATGCAAGATCTGTAAAGCGAAATCCGGAGGTGCAGAAGTGCTCAGAAGCTTTTGATCAAGAGCTCCTCAAGGAAGAGCCCCGAACTGGTGATGTAGATTTGGTGTTGGAAACTTTGGGCTTGGAACAGGATGCCTTTACAGATGATCAAAAGGAGAAGCTGCAGGCCCCACGCACGTCCAGTGCGACGAACTTGCGAAGAAGGCAGGTTGGTCTCCTGGACCCGACCAGCAGTGTTTTCCAGTTAGGGCACAACCCCAAGCCACCATGAGCGGCAACCCTGGCCCCACAGCAATGACAGGCCCAAGTCCTGCCTAAGGTCCCCGATGCTCGCAACCAAAAGACGCCTGATCAGAATCGCCGCAGTCGCCACAATGAAACAGTCCGGGCTGACAGCGCAATTCTGGTCCGGCTAACATCTTGCGCGCACCAGGCAGAAACGGCTCCCGGACCGCAGGGCCGCAATTCTAGGGCCAAAAGCTCTGACATGTGCTGCGTAATCCCGATGTTTTGGACCCGGCACGGTGCATAGTTGGCTGACGCCTTTCTTCGCGCATGTTTCAAAGTAAAGCTGGCTGCTGATGTCACCGTATGATGATCTTGTCGTCGCCCCCGCTTGCCTTTACTGATGCATCGAGCCGATCAACTTCTTCAAAACCCACCGTGTGTACTTTTCAAAATTCTGCACAACACAGTACGCACGGCTCACCTGTTTAGACTTAAATTGTGGCTATTTCCACAGTGCCGCACGCAATATTTTAGACGCGCCTTCTGATCTACGGGGTGTGCGTGTGGTCTTGTGCGTGTGCACATGTGAACAGCGGGCAGCGAGTGCGGGGTGGGTGGGGTGGGAGGTGGGGGTGGTGGGGGTGGGGGTGTGGGTGGGGGTGTGGGTGGGGGTGCGAAAACGCTGCCGAGGGGTAAAAGCGAATCAAATTCAGAATCAAGAATGAAAGTCTTCTCCAACAAACAAGAAGGATTCAAGCAGGCCCGTCCTTGCCCCTCCCCCAACACCTTCCCCGCTCTCTTAAGCCGTGAAGACCACACATCAGAAGAAGAGAGCAACACGAAAACGCTGCAGGGGGGTTTAAAGCGGAGAAAATTAGGAATAAGAAATGATACGTCTTCTCCAACAAACAAGAAGGTTTCAAGAAAACATTTTAGTGATAACGAAACGACACGAAACGAACGTGCAGTCACAGACCTACACCAAAACACTCCTTACAGCTTCAGTGTGTGCCAAAACATCAAGGCATCCAACGCGGTGAGGAAATCCAACAACCTGAACCTGGGTTCGAGTTAACCCGTATCCCCTGACCAACTCGAACCTCGAGTTCAGGTTAGAGAGGCTAACCAGGACCCTCAACCTCAAGTTCAGGGTTCGAGTTAACCCCAACTCTACCCTGAGGTTAGGGTTCTGGTTAATCCCAACCCCAACCTGTAGTTGTAACTTTGTTCAACCCCGACCAATGAATGGTGGGGGTGGGGGTCGGGAGGGGGGGTGGGGGTGGGGTGGGGTGGGGTGGGGTGGGGTGGGGTGGGGTGGGGTGGGGTGGGGTGGGGTGGGGTGGGGGTGGGGGTGTGGGGTGTGGGGTGGGTGGGGTCTCGGTTTTGGCCCACCTGGCTGAAAGCTCCGGCGATCGTCACGATTTGGAAGCTCTGCTCGAGGGCAACGTCAAGGAAGTCCTCTTGCAGGCGCTATTGTTGAAGCCTTGATTTCAAGGAGTCACGTATGCTGGTACCTCTCTGTCGATCCTGCCACTAGGAACAATATCCAAGTTAGACTTTTGTGGAGGTCCGACATGCCAAGATCCGACGGAACAGAAGAAAGGCGGCAGTCTGCAAAGTTCAGTCTCGAAAATTCTTCAAATCCTCGCCTCAAGAGTCCAATACCGAAAAATGTTCCAAAGCTCCGGCATCCTGCTCATTGACTTCGCGGCTGCTGTCAACCGCCAGATCCGTCATGTGGAGGTAGCGATTGAAGAACGTGTTGTGCAAGGCAATGCTCCCAGTTCTAAGTTGGCTTCCGGCTCAGAACTCGCAGGCATACTCTCTCCAGGGTCTCCGGGCTTGTTTGACCGGAAAGCAGGAGAGAAAACAACACCCCAACACACACAACGCATGAACTCGAACAAACCCCAAGCCCCAAATCCAAGGTGCTGCCAGAAATACCTCACTGCAAAAGCCTCGCCGGCAGAATTCGCAGGGAAGTCGCTGCTGGCCGTGGGGACACTGGTCTCCATGTCCTCACCGTTCATCCTTACCTTACATGCTCAGTCACATTGGAACATGCACCATCTTCGATGTTGCAATGGGTCAGATATCAGTTCAAGTCCCCCAAAGACAGGAAAGCTACCCCACAGCCAAGAAGCAAAACGGTTGTGCACAGCGTTATGGAGCGCGATCTTCCCATTCCCGGCATCGACAACCGTGAAGAGCTCCCAGCTCCCAGGATCTGGAAGGGTGGCCTCTGCAAAGGGTTTGCCATTCCTAGAGTGACACTCTCTTGCCTTCTTTGTGTGTGTCTTCTTGCAAGACTCCTTCTTATAGCCCGCAATCCGCAGTGCCAGAGCGATGGGGTGCCCAGTCCGAAGCCCGACTTCATCAGTACTCTATCACTGACTCTCCTGGAAACATGTAGAAATCTCAATGACCGGCCTGGCCGAAGCCGCCGTAGCCGCCTTGGCCGTAGCCGCCGCTGCCGTAACCGATGCCGACAGGGCCATAGCCGCCCGGAGCCTCTTGGTCGCTGCTGTAGTCGCCGTAGCCGCCTTGGCCATAGCTGCCGTTCCCGTAGCCGCCTTGGCCGTAGCTACCGTTACCGTTGCCGAAAGGGCCGTAGCCGCCTTGGCCGTGGCTGTAAGGGCCGTAGCCGCCTTCGCCATAGCCGCCGTTGCCGTAGCCACCTTGGCCGTAGCTACCGTTACCGTTGCCGAAAGGGCCGTAGCCGCCTTGGCCATAGCCGCCGTTGCCGTAGCCACCTTGGCCGTAGCTACCGTTACCGTTGCCGAAAGGGCCGTAGCCGCCTTGGCCATAGCCGCCATTCCCGTACCCGCCTTGGCCGTAGCTACCATAACCGACGACGACAGGGCCGTAGCCGCCCTGGCCGTTGCTGTAAGGGCCGTAGCCGCCTTGGACATAGCCGCCGTTGCCGTAGCCGCCTTGGCCGTAGCCTCCGTAGCGTGATTCCGGGCATATGGGGCCGTGAGAAAGTCATGTTCAGGCGTGTCTATTCGTGACACTTCTGCCCAACGAGCTGCTTTAGCGAGTGCGCTGGTATGTTAGTGCTTGCGCTTCTTGCTTCTAAGTTCTCGTGTTACCGGATGTCTGCCAAAATCCTTAGTTGAAGTCTTCATGCAAGTGATACCTGCAGCTGCCGTCGGAGCGCTATCCATGTCCGCCTGAGCGAATCAAGCGGTTGAACATCGTGCCCAGAACGAACATTTCAGTCTTGACAGAGACAGAGTTCCGGGCTCAGGGATTTAGAGTCCATACAGCTGACGCAGTATCTGCACCTCTCCGTCTTCGTCTGTCACTGCCTCATTCTGCCCGTCTACACCTGTGCCGCCGTCTCGCTCTGTCTTTCTTCTTGCTCTGTCCGTCTTCACCGGATCGTCAGCCCAAAACGTACCTTGTCGCATCCCACACCCTGGAACCTCGAAGCCCCGCAACCTTAAGTCAAAACGGTTCGTGCAACTCTTGGCAAGACCTGAAAAAATCCAACCATCCGACGAAAAGACCGAGCATCGTGCAACACAAAACTCATTTGTTGACTTTAACGATATAAGAAGGCCTGATCGTTCATGCGCAGGAAGCGGCTCCAGCGCGTGCAGTACAAGGCTACTACGGAACCGGGCTCCAGGAAGGGCTTGACCTGCTGTAGGTCACGTTTGAGCTACTTGCAGTAGCCTCAAAGGTTTAGGGTGGTTCAGGGATATCGCTTTGTGGAGACGATGCCACGGCGGGCATCAACCTCACACATGGATCTAGATGTGTGGGTGTGATTGCCGGGTCGATGGATTGAGGCTTAGCAGTGGTTGTTTGGCTTGGCGAATCGATACACTAGGTTTCTTTGATGACTACATAAACATCTAAAAAATTCCACAAGTGTCCACGTGTTGAGCGTACTAGCCCCGATGCCCGCAGATCGAAATCGCAAACCTGAAATGTACTGCAGCACGGCAAGAAAAGCTCCTAAATGCCCTAAAACACCTGGTAAAGCTCCCTCAAACGAGGGTTCAAGACCCTGCGAACCCATTCAACTAGATTGAAAAGCCTGCAACCCTTACACAACGCTGCAAGCCCCTTGTAATTCTGAAGCCGCATACATAGGGGGACCCAACTCCGCGGACACCCCCGCCCCCCTACCTGCACCACACGGAAGCGCTCAAAGGCCGACGGCAGCTCTGATGCGTTCCTGACTGGAAGAAGGCATGTAGAAACTAGCATTAAGGGATTATAATAATTACTATTAAGGAATTATAATGGGACTACTGTAAGGATACACTCCCCCACACACCCGTAAGCACCAGCAAGGTTCTTTGCTTCACTCGCGCCCACCATCCCGTCATCCGACAAGGAGACGAAGCCTCGGTACTGATCTTGGGCTGAAGGTTGTTCAGGGTTGTACAGAGCTTGTGGATCAAGGCTGCGGTCTGTGGCTTTCGGGTTCGGCAATTTTTTTGAAATCACCTCGCTCATAGAGATTAAGGCTTAGTCTGTCCTTAAGTTGGCAGCCAACTGCGAACTCTGGATTGAAGCCATGCTCACGCCGGGTCGCCAAGCTTCGGGCGAAGAGGTGCTTGGGATGTTGTTATCTCGAACCCCGTCAGTAGCTCTTTTCGTGTAGTGGCTAGCCTGATTATGACGTGGGGTATCGCAAAATTCTGTGCAGCAACCGGGAAACAAACGAAAAGACCTCGCAGGACTTGCCAGCCAAGACGGGTATGTTGCAACTCTCTACTCTCTGTGTTGTCGAACAACATACCAGCACGTCCACACAATATCGAACTGCCAAGACGCGGTTGTGGACGCCGCTGTGCAAAGCGATGGACCCACCCTCAATATCAACCACAGCGAATCGCTCCCCCATCGAGTCTGCGGGAAGCTCATCTGCAGCCTGGGGGGCAAGGCCTTGCAAGGCTGGGCTGAGGTTTAGGATGGAGGGTTTACGGACTGTAGGATTTTCGGCTTAAGTTTCAACAAGCGATTCAAATTAGGAAGTTGTGGTCTTGAGGCTTGGCTTGAAAAGGCGTTGAAAATTGTCAACGCGTTCTCGGGTTTTCCGGTGCTTGTCAGGCCGTTCTGGTTCAGCAAGTCCTCAGCCACATATGAAAGGTTGCCGGTTGTCAAGCCTGTCCATCTCAATCAAAACCACAAGGGTTCCTACCCGTGCGATGTAGTGACTTTGTCCTCAGCTTGAGGTTTACGGTACGAGCTTTGAAGCATAGAGACCCTGAAGTCGCTTGTGTCCATCCCCGCGCTGCTCATGCGCACGAAGCGGTTGTGGAAGGTGTTGTGCAGCGCGATCTCCCCGCTGTCGGCGTCAACTACAGTGAAGAGCGCCCAGGCGAAGTCCTTGGGGTGGTGCTGCTCATGGTGTACTAATCAGAAAGTTGCAACTAGCATGGCTGGTGTCAATGCCGATGCCACGGCCGCGGCCTACGCATGCGTGCCGTCAGGGTGAGAGTTGAGAATTAAGGCGTGGCCTCAAAGAAGATCTGGTCCGCGGGTCTTGAGGCGTCGATCATCGAAGTGTTCATGCGCAAGAAGCGACCTTAGAAGGGAATTGAACTACGCAAAGGATACCCAGTCCCTCCCACATCCTTTCGAGGACCTCTCTAAGCCAAGCCGCTGTGAGCCAGGCCTTGCAATGCAATCATTGTCCCGGATCTCAAGCGCACCTCACCCGAATCTAGACTTTCGCATTTCAGCTATACCAGTTCGGCTGACCCATTCAGGTCGCGAGCCTGCGCAGCTACGTGGACACAGTGCGCGCACACTCCACATATACATGTGTCTCTACGTGTGTTTTTGTGTGTATATGTATATATAAGCATACACACCTACCTTCACACCTCGAGACTCAAGACAACCAACCCTGCATCCATTTCTGCTGAGGCCGCCAACATCCAGGTGCAGAGAGTAGCTGCCATCGAAAGCAGATGGCCCCGTGCCATTTTGTGCGCCAGCTTTCCGCGTCCAAGCCTCCCGAAGATGCACTGAAAATACGAATCGAACGTGCCCCGAATGACACAGTAGCACCCACTGCTTCAACCGGCAAGCAATAGCTCGGCATGCTACCGATTTCCCAAGAGACATGCCTCAGGAAGTGCTGCTCCACTGCTCTCCACTCTGTTACCCTGCCTGATTTTTGTCTACCCATCCGCAAGTGTCGGTTTCAAAATCACAACCCACGACGTCGTACTTCGGAAGAGTCAAAGTCGTAGTGGCCGTGGTTGTGGGAGTCATGGAAATCGTCACGGACGATGTCGTGGAAACCGTCATAGTCGCAGTTGAGGTCGTCAGGGTCTGAGTCTGTGTGGTCGTGGTCGCCAGAGAGCATTGGGAGAGGATCAGGATCTTCAGGGCTGCCCATTGCATGGCCTTGGTTACAGCTCATGCGCACAGACTCCAGCATGCTGGGCTCACGGACCATCCCTGGCAATGATCAGCCGAGATGCCATCTTAAGAGCAATGGCACCAGCCAGCAAAGGGCTAGCAAACTTCCTCGAGAGCTTCGAGATGGCTGCAGCAAACAGGTGCGAACGACAAATCACGCACCGAGCAGGTGCAGGCGCCAAGCTTCGTCACAACAACTTGCAGTTGACATACTTTTCCCGGCATGTCTCATGGTGAACCAGTTGTGACATACTTGCAGCTAGGCTAGAAACTGAATTTTCAACATTTTCCAGAAGCAAATGGACAGTGACACCTGCACCACCTCCTTCGAAGGCCGCGAGTCCAGCGAATAAACCTGTCGTGGTTGTCCCTCGGCAGAAGTTCACACGTCAATTCATATCGGACTAGGAGCGGCGGGCTTCCGACAACCAAGATGCTGAGGATGCTGAGCTACACTACTCCGGAACTGGGCCTTTCACACAGCCATAGAAGCACGGCGTCAGCCCACAGGTGGCTTCTGCCTCCGTCAGCTCCTGTGTCAGAGCTGTGCGAAACGGGCCACACCCGGTGCAAAGCCCGCCTGCAACAACCTCAGATTCACCGAACCAGCTCGACATCCAAACCGAAGCTCCGGTGGTTCGAACTGGAACTGGATGGATTACCGTATGCGAAGGCAAAGGAGGAGGAGCTGGCCAATTCAATTCGTGTACAAGCTCTACGGCAAGCAGGAAGCCACCAAAACAAACAACCACGATCACGCAAATAGCTTAGTCACAGCTTGCTAAAGTCGACTGTCCTGCGGAAGCAGTTCACACACAACTGCAAACCACGTCAATGCCATCCGTGACGAAAGCGCCTTCATAAGCTAGCCTCAAGGCCTCACGTATGATTCAACAAATCATGCACTCAAGAGTGTCTGCTTCGTTTGGGGTGGCCTCGCACGTTTCGGCACGAAAGACACGACAAGCCTTGTCGACCCTGGTTTGCACGTAGATGCAGGAGGCACTTTTCGAATGAAGTTCATGGCTGCAAGCTGCTGGCTGTCATGAAAGTGACTCAAATCCAGTAGTGCAGACACACTTCACTTCCTGGCCTGGCCTCCAGCTCTGCTTAATGCCCTGGTTAATTCCGGATGCTTGAAGGTGGTGTCCTGAAATCGCCGGCCGATCGCCTCCCCCGTCTGGCGAATTAGAATCCAATCTCCGTCACACTCAGTGGTGAAACGGCGATCCCAGTGCATTTTCCGGTCTGTTTTGCTCACAAGCTGTACCTTCAAGCGCGGGCATCGGCCGCAAAGCCACAGCAACAAGTAGACGGCCAGTCGCCGGTTGCAGATGCTGTAGTAATATCCTTCGTGGAAGACGACATCCATCATTTCAACCTCCCGCTTCAGCATTCGTCGTTCTAGGATTGCATCAAACATCTCGCGCACCGAGCTTGTCTTCACAGAGTCCCTGGCTGGTCCCGGTGAGTCACTGGAGCTGTAGCCGGAGCTGTGGCCAAAACTACCGTTATCTTTAAAACCAGACTTGATGGAGTCTTGGGTGAAGTAGAGCTCACAGGGAGGAATGAAGAAAATACTTCCAGCCTCAAAACCGTAGAATCGATGCACCGCGCGCTCCGGCGCAGGCTCGAACACCTCGGGCTCAGCAGACTTCTGCTCCTCTGGCAGTTCTGGCGGGGCTTTCGCGGCATCACCTTCTTCCGGCACGTCCTCCTCTGTCTGTCCAGGCTCCGAGACAGGGGGAGGCTCGGGAATCGGAGTGAAAGACTCGCATCTCGGGATCTCTGCCTCGACCTCCTCAGCTCCGCTGCCCGGCTCAGGCTCTTCGGCCTCGTCGCCCTCATCGTCGCCCTCGCCCTCGACACCCTCGTCGGCGCCGTCGTCGCCGTGCCCGCGGCAGAATGCGTTGGCTTGGAAGTCGAAGCGGAAGTCGCTTTCCAGCTTTTCAAGCACTGCGAAGCGCCCCAGCCAGTGTGTGCGGCCTGTCAAGCCCTGATGCCGATCCAGCTTCGCCTGCTTCTTGCTACGGCTTCTGAACACAGCATCTACGTACCGCTTCGCCACGTCCAGCAGCGCTGAATGCCTCTCACGCAAGAGCTCTTCTAGCTTCCTGGCTGAAATACGGCTGCCAGATCCCATGCTGACCTCCTCCTGCAGCAAGTCGCGCAGTCGAATGGAGTCCTCTGCTGGAAAGACCTTCTTCCAGTCCGGCTCCGTTGCTTTGGGCGCGGCTTTCACCTGGGCCTTCGCCTTTGGCTTTCGCTTCGCTTCACTCGTCTCTTTGCCGATGCCGGGCTTTGGCTCAGCTGCATCACTCCGAGAAGGCGGCTGCGCACCCTTTCCCCGTCCTTTCGCACTGCTGCTTGAAGCCGCATGCTCGTGCTCCCATGCCTCCCGCGCGTCCACAAACTGCAGGTGGCGGCGCTTCACCACCTTCTGCTCCTTGCACTCCCCGTCGAGCTCCACGACGAAGCGCGCCTCGTCGCCCTCCCGGCCCTCCCCTTCCCCCTTCTTTGCGGTCACCCTGCCTCTGCGCCCATTCAAGTCCCTGTTGTTGACCAGACCTCTCAGGGTGACCATGCTCCCCAGCAGCTCGCGATCGGGATCTTTTGCATCAGCAAAATCATACATGCGATTCCTCGCTGCGTGGCGCCCGCCCTCCTCCAGGCGCCTGGCCTCTCCGATGTTTTCGAGACCTCGCTGCCGACGAAAGGCGGCCGATCTTGCGCTCGGACGCGAGGCTGCGCTTCCTTCCTCCTCTGACTCGGAGAGCGAGGAGTAGCCACCGATGTCTGCTGCCAGCTCGCCCCGGCCTGCTGTGTTGAGCATCATCTTCGCATAAGCGCTCATCTCGCCTTTCTTCTCGATGTTCAACTCCAGCTTCTGGGACTTGAGAGCCACTTCCGTGCCATCGCCGATCACGACTTGGAAGCGGATCTCGCCGCCATTGCTTCCAGGCACCACTTTCCGCAGTGCGCCTAAACACCAAAGAATCGAGGACAAGTTGCCCTCGTCGGCGCCCTCCTCGTCGTCTCCGTCCTCGTCTTCCTCCTCCTCATCGTCGGCATCTGCACCCCTTGGCTCGAGCGTGGTGCTGCCATTGTCACGGCTGCTTGGTTCAGGTTTATAGGGATTTGAAGTGTAGGTTTAGGGTGCAGCCTGCTGAGATGGTGATTCCGAAAGCTAGTCACCGCAAAATGGTCAGACTCTCCCAAGTTTAACCTTGGTTAGCGTCCGTGATTCTGTCTGTCCAGGCCGGTTGAGGCTTGCATGAGCCCGACTCCGGCTACTTACTTGGGGTTCTCACTTTTGCCTTCATGTCCTCTGTCGAAAGTCTTGTAGACAAGCGACACTACGCTAACCCCCCAAAACCCTAAAACCCTAGAGCCCTCAGGTGTAGGGTTCAAGGGTTGGGGTTTAGGGTTTGTTAGAGTTTAGGGGTTAGGGTTCGGTCCTAAGCTACCCCAAGCCCCGAAACCCTGAACCCAGCAAGCCCCGGACTCTTTGCAGAAAAGCGGCTCTTCTCCGAGATCTTCTGCTTCGGTGCCCGCCTTCCTGGGGCTTCAAGGCCCCGGAGCTTCCAAAGCGAAGCAAAGGGTTTAGGTTTCAATGTTTTGGGTTTTGGGTTTAGGGCTTAGGGGTTTAGGGGTTTAGGGTTTAGGGGTTTCAATGTTTTGGGTTTTGGGGTTTAGGGTTTAGGGCTTAGGGGTTTAGGGGTTTAGGGTTTAGGGGTTTCAATGTTTTGGGTTTTGGGGTTTAGGGTTTAGGGCTTAGGGGTTTAGGGTTTAGGGGTTTCAATGTTTTGGGTTTTGGGGTTTAGGGTTTAGGGGTTTAGGGTTTAGGGGTTTGATGTTTTGGGCTTTGGGCTTTTGGGTTTAGGGATTAGGGGTTTAGGGTTTAGGGGTTTGATGTTTTGGGTTTTGGGGTTTTGGGCTGGGAGTCTCAAGTGTAAAGGGTTTGTCTGGGGTTTATAGCGGTTAGGGTTGTGTAATTTGTATAGACCTTCAGAATCGATGATTGAGAAGCTGAGAAGCAATACCCGATGTGGCGTAGAAGCATTAGCGCAGCAGAAGAAGCAACCCCAACAGCTTACCGGTAGTAGTCTCAGCAGCCGTCAGTACTGTAGAAGTATATCGCAGCCACAGCCGCCGAAATGGTGGTAGTAGTGGCGACAGGTACAACTTGTGGTACTGCAGCCTGATATCTTTATCCTGGAATATTGCTACCCATGTAACTGGAACCGGCCCACGCAAGTTCGACGAAGCATAGGAGGAGGGGTCGTGTTTGACGAAACGCGTCTCTACTTAAGCTACTTCTGGAGGGTTACAGAAGAGAGTGGCTGCTCCGAGGCGACTTTTGACTCCTAGCGTCGCGGAATGCTTTCAGCCGTGATTCTCATTGTGAGTATGGTTACTTCTTACTACAAGTGCTACTATTGCTTCACATCCCTCTCTTCCTCTTACTAATTAGTATCATACGAATCCTGAATCCTGCTCATGACATCCCGGTGGCCAGTCGTCCATGTCCAGCCCATCCTGATCCTCCTGACAGAGCAGATCACTACACATACCGCAGACTTACCCCACGAAGGCCAACAAATTCCTTTAGTGATTCTCTTGAGCCGGGGGGAAGAGGGGCGAATCTTTGGCGCAGCAGCAGGCCGCATGCGCAAGCTAGTCCAACTCATCCCATCGGGATGCCACGTATTTTCTGAGGGTGCGTGGGCTACTACTTGCGTACTTGCTCTATGTCTCCGGCCTCATCTTCTGCCTCATCATCACCCTCTTCGTCCTCACCTGTGCAGATTTGTTGCTGCACCATGCATCATGACGACAGTGGTGCCTTCTGGATTCCTGGAACCCTTCAAGCCTGAAGCCCTAAACCCTTACGGCCCCCCTTTAAGGACCCTAAAACTATGTGACTGAAAGGTGTTCTAGCAATCCGAACTTTCACGGAGCTGTGTCTTGGTGCAGGGCCAAGAGCCGAGTCGTGCATCTACAAGCGACAAGGGTTCAACTGCGGGGTCGTTATGAGCGCTGCTGGAAGGGACAGACTTCATCCTGGTCTGCATCAATCCAAACTGTGTGGATGCGGCGCGCATCGTAGCAAGGAGATCCGCTGTCGAAGCCGTCTCTGCTCGCAAATAGTGCTCGCAACGGAATATAGCCATAGCTGCTAGTAAAAGAGTAGCTGTGAACATCCGGTGAGAATTTTCTGGAATGGCCTCGATAGCATTGCGAACGCGACGAGCCAGAACGACAGCCGGAGTTCGAAGGGCAGCGTCGGTTCTGACAACGGATTACAAGAAAACATTTTGGGCAACACATCGATCAGGAATTCGACCGTCTCCTTAGCCGCAAACAGTGCCGGATCGTGCTGAAATGACAGCAGCCTGCGTGTCTGACAGTGTATGTTCAAAAGAAGCGCCAGTGCGTCTTCCAGCTCCGAAGGATTGTTATGCACCTCTTCTCGCATGAGCACATACCTCCGCAATTTGCCTACGCACTCTTCATACTGTCGTCTCAATGGAGACTCATCCGAGATAGCCAGGGCAGCACAGACGGAAAGCCACGCGTCCAAAGACTGTGTGAGGAACTGCATGGCGAGATCGAGCTTGCCGGTGTGGAATGTGGCTTGACCCAGGAAGCACAATGTCTTTGCGATGCTGGCAGTGACGCGGTCACGGGGGCACAAAGATCTCTTCATGCTTAATGCTTCTTGCAGGTAGCAGACTGCCACCTCGAAGTCCTTGACGAGCATGTGCAGCTGTCCCAGTCCATACAGTGCGTTTGCTCTGAACTCCTTGCCTTCGTCTTCTGCAAGACAGCCTACCGCTCGTAGAGACTTTTGAAGACAGCTTGTCGCGGCCTGAACAGCCTGAACAGCAGCAGGATGTGGACGACACCCTAGGGCAGCACAATATTGGAGGAGGCGAGCCTGACAGCATTGCGGGATTAATTATCCCTTGCACCTACCAGGCAGGTTGTAATCCTCAACTTCAGCTTACATGACATCGAGCCTTGGAACTGGTATGCATGAAACCCCCGTGCATTGCACGGCCGCTAAAACTGCTCAGTCTGGGAGACTCCTACGCATTCTCTCGCGAAGCGTACCTGTTCCAGGCAAAACTCCAGGTCACGTCCTCGGAGGAGCTCCCGAAAGCTTTCTTCCCAATAACCGACGTCGACTGATTCCGCGACCTCCTGCAACAGCAGCGGTGGGTATGCTAACGTTAAGACAAGTCAAGCTTGATCATTGACGGCATGCCAATGCTAACTGCTGCGAGCCGTCCTGGAAGGCTCGGTCGCCAATATGGATGCACCAATCCCAAAAGGCAGCAAAGTTGAGAAGGGCTGTTAAGGTCCGGCGGTCTTCGCTGCCGGGGGCCTGACAGCAATGCAGGATTGCTCCTTTCACATACTCTACCAGTCAGCTGCATACCTCAAGTTCAGCTTGCATGGGTTGGCACAATGGACCCCCGAAAGCCTTGCGTGTGCGCATGAAACACTTGAGCCCCTGGTCGTACCGGCCCCGAGCATTGATCAGTCTGGGAGACGCCCATATGCATTCTCTCGCGAAGCCTGCCTTGAGCCACACCTGCAATGGAAAATCTTCAGGGAGAGGTAAATCAATCAAGTCGGCGGAGTCTGCTGACGGGAGAACTGTCAAGGGCTCGTCCCTGGCAGTGAGAACGCGGCAGAACTCCAGGTCGCGGCCACGGAGAGCCTCCCGAAAGTTGTCCGCCCAATCATCGCCTGCTTCTATCAGCTCCTGCGGCAGAAGCAGTGCAACCCAAGATAAGTCATGCTCACGAGCAGTGTGCGCAATGCTCGCAGTCCTGCGCATGTCGGCAAGAGGTTGAAGCTTCGCGGTGATCCAAGTAGCCAGGCCATAGGCTTTCTGCCAAGTTCAGAGCTTTCTCTATAAACACCCGGGCTTGCCGGAATTCCGCAGACAAAACAAGCTCGTTGCTGAGACGGTACAGAGTCGAAAAAGTTTCGCGGTCGCCATGGGGGTGCAAGCGCTGGCTCAGCTCCAAGGACTCGTGAAAGTACTGCATGGCTTGTTCTCGATTTTTGAGAATGCTGCTTGCGCGACCCAGGTCATACAGCGTTCGAGCGACACTGAGATGAGGCGTGCCTTCGTGAAGGCAGCGCTGAATTTGCAAGCTCTGGTGTAAGTAGTCCGTGGCCTGTGTGGCATGCTCAGATTCCCCCTCTTCGAGAAGTGCAGAGCCCAGTCTACGCAGCGTTTCTGCGAGGGGAAGGCCGGTCTGCTCCGCCCTCATCTGTTGCAACTGACACTCCAAACCTAGTTCATGGTTGGGAGAGGATTAAAATTGAATTATTCCTTATTGGGTTTTATTGGGTTTAAGTAACCACAAACATGTAAAATGTTGCCCAACTATGACAAAGAAACCTTGCCTGTGTGCAACAAGTTGACCTGCACGGCTGGATCTGACAAACCTCCCGAACATGCCCCCTTGCGATTGCTTGAAACCGCAACTTGCCGACAATCTGTGAAGAAGTAGACACAAACATGCGAAGGGACAAAGTGGGCAGGGGCTGATACTAAAGAGTGAAGCAATCCTTCAAGCCCTCGCCGGGCCTTCTCGCATTCCTTGCAGAGGCACTGGCAAGTCTTCGACAACTAGCTCATGCGGTTCTCGATCGGTGGCGCTGTCAACGAAGCCGTCTCGTGGGTCCGCAGTGCGGGTTGGAGCTGTAATGGCCCCAGACTCAGCTTCAGTCCCTGACTCAGGGATGTAGAAGTCTCCACCGGGCTCTTCCGAAACGATTGCGGTGGGAACGCCATCCGCCACCAGCATCTCTTCGACTTGCCTGGTGGCCTGCAAGCAGAGCATGGCCAGGTGTAGGCAGCGCGTACCAAAATCCTCTGAACCTAACTTCTGCATCATCCGGGCAGCCAGGCAGATCCACTCAAAGCACGAAGCGGCCGTCGGTCCAACTTCTGCCTCAACATGATCATTCGCAATGTGGAGCACATCGTGCGCCAGCGCACGCACCTGCTGCGCATCTCGCAGCATCTGCAGCGGATCCGGGTCTTCATACCCCTGGAGGTGCCCTTGCGCGTGATAGAGTATTAAGCTGGCCTTACCTCTCAGAGCTTCACGCTGCTCCTCCGACATGGAACTCGTCTACACGGATGCGCACTTGCAGGGCTCATCAGTATGGAACTGCACTTGGGCCCTGGCTGGATAGAAAGATGCCTCTGAAACTCGAAAAGTTGCCCTGATTAGTTGAAGTCTCATATCCGGGTCAAGCGAGCCTCTCATTAACTGCATGACCTGCTCCGTCATCGCTGGAAGAGATCTTGTGTGGCGCAAATGTACTCCCTTCGTCACAATCCTTGTTCAGCTTCATCATTCACCAACTACGCTGCATCGTCATCGTCGCCGAGTCTTCGTCATCGCATCATAATCATCATCGTCATCATAATGATCATCATGACCAGCCTTGGCACAGCATGCACAGCATCACAGCCATGAGCACCGTTATCCCCATGAGTCGGGCTCAGCCCAGCTATCGGCAGCAGCGCAATGCCAAGCATATTAATTAGTAACTTCGAATATATAGATGTACTGGCCATTTAATGTCGCGAGTAGTTTTCCACGTCGTCATGAGCATACCAACTTAGAAGCAGCAGTTGAACACATCGCGCTGAAGGCTGTCCCCGACCGTTCATCCGAACCGCAAACCTGTTTTGCGCAAAGGTTGCGCTGTCCCCGCACGCTTGTAACCCTCCGGAAGTACGGCCTTCAGCCGAGGATCCCAAGCCTAAACACAGCCTCCGAAAGCTGACCATGCTACGCACGCATACCCCTTGGTGAAACCTTCCATTCCCGGCCTAAGGTTTCGAAGCCGCCGTTCTCAATGGACTCCTCAGGAGCTGGAAGGCTTGCCACGAGCTCTAGTGACGAACTCAGAAAGCACTGTTACCCTAAGCGTTAACCGCCTAAGCTGGCCCTAAGCCCTAAATTCCTATATATACATTAAATCCTAAAACGCCTAAACCCTCATAACTTTGAATGCCCGCACTCCGCCACGTCGGCAGCAGAGACAGCGGCCAAAGCTCGCAACTTCTACCACGAACAATGGAAGGGATTGAAAGGGTTTTAGGGTTTAAGGTTTTAGGGCTTTACGGACTTGGGGGTTTAAGGTTTATAGGGTTAAGGAACTCTACAATCTACAAAATCGGAAGACGCCTCCTCTTTGAGACAAGATAAGATGCAAGAATGCGAGAGACCCGTCAGAGGCCCCAGCCGCCAGCGCAGCTCCAATGGCAAAGGCCTTAGAACGATTTCAGAAGACCCTAACACTTAACACGAAAGCCTGAACCATCAACTCCTATAAACCCCCGTACATGTAGAACCCTAAACCCTAACGTAGACTGTAGTTCATCTAGTCGTTGGGGCAATCAAGTCTTCCGGCAGATGGCTCTCTTTGAAGGTTCGGGTTTAGAAAGATGTTCAAAGAGGGTTAGTAGGGCTTGGAGGTTAGGGCTAGGGCCTGGGGTTTGTGTCTAGCGCTTCGGGTTTAGGGTTGACGTCAAGCCAACGGTCTCGGGTTCACAGAGGGCGGTTTTGCAGTCGGGGAAGCTTACAGCGGCTGTGCAGCCAGGCTAGATTGGCTGCTGCCGGTCACTAGGGCAAGAACAAACGGAACAAGGTTTCGTGGTACGTTATAAGACTTAAATAATGCCTGAGGAGCCCTAAATGCAGCATACTAGTAAGTCCGGCTTCTAAGTAAGCCCCGGACGTCGCCACTAAGCGCCAGTGTCGCTTCGGCCGCAAGCGGCGAGCCTCCGTACTGCTGCGAGTGCTGAGTTTTCTTGAGTCTTTTGGTGTTTCAGTGAAGTTTAGGATTTAGGGGTTTAGGGTTTCAGTGCGGCAAGTGGTCGGAACTCTGGGCCAGAATGACACTACAGTTTGGGCATTTTCAATGTGAGAGCTTCGGGAATGTCAGAGTTTGGGATGTGCGTTCGGCTGTCCGGCCGCTTTACAGCTTTAAGTCCTTCCTAAAAGGTCTTTAAACACTCGCATGATTTGGGACTTTGCTTTCGGATTTGAGGAGTGAGGCTTCAGGTCTTGGCCTGCTGATGGCGTCATGTTTCCGTGTTTCGAGTGCCTTAGTTTCGGAGCCACCCGGATTCAAACTGTGGTATGTCTTGAGTTTCGGGCAGTTGTTCGGCGTTGTAGTGACTATAGTGATGCAGGTAATGTTTTTGCCAGGTGGTCCGTGGTTCTCCCTACTCTGCATGCAACCCCTGTGCCTGCATTCGAAGTCTCCTCGGCATCTGCCAACGACTCCTCCAGCTCCTTGCGATGCTCACGTTTCCGCTTGCACCAGAACTACCGAAAATGTGCCAGCTTTGAAATTAAGTTAGATGCAAAAATTGCATCTTGATGATCAGAATCCCCTACATGTCCCAGGGATCGCGCGATAGAAGACATTCCTGGCACACCAAGTCATCAGTCACTGCTGCCCACAACTTATGTGTGGGACGGGACTCAACAAAGCTCTACACAGACGTGCTCTGAAATCCATGCAACCCTCTACGACCTTACTAGATCGGAGCCGGGCTCCCTTAAGACATTTGGCAAAGCATGTCAAGAGTAAGCTGCGATTCATTCTCTCGGGAACTTTGGACCATCGAACTCGAAACCACAAGATGCGACGACACATCGTGAGTTGTTCAACCAGCCTACCAGTATCCCACCGGCTACGATCTGCGAACAAGCTGTTGTCGCTGCAGGATTCCCGTTAAGAACGAAATAAGCTCAACACTTCTGACTCAAAACCAAGAAGCCGAATGCGCAAATCCCAAAGGCCCCAAACTCCAGGAAGTTTGGCCTGGAAAAAGAGCTGAGCCCAAAGCCAAACACCCAAAACCCAAGGCCACGACTCGAAAATCTGAGCCTCAAGCCACGCAAAGACTACAAGCTCTCAACCCCTAGAACACATACCCCAAAGCCTCAAGCTCCCTTCTCTCTTCTAAATCGATACATCTGAGCCCTGAACCCCAAAGCCACGACTTTAAGGCCGCGGCCGGCGTCTCCTGGAATGCCGGCCGTGGAGGAGCTGCGGAGAGGGCGGTGTGCTCAGGGCTCCGACAAGTGAGGGTTCCTTTAGGGTTCGCTGAAAAGTTCTAATAAAATGCCAAGCGCGGGCGTAGACACCGTGTTTGGGTCGTACAAGGGTTCTACGCGGCTTCCAGAAGTCCTCTACAAGGGCTCTGCTAAGGATTCAACAGCTTGGGCGTTTCGGGCTTTAGATCTTGAGGGGCACGGTTTAGGGTTTGGGGTTTAGGGGTTTCGGGTTTATCGATGTAGGCTTCAGGGTTTAGGAGTTTAGCGATTGGCGCTTTGTAGCTTTGGGTCTTGCAGCTCGTGGGGTGTATCGCTCACCTGGTGTTTAGGGTTGACTGTATTTTGCTCTTTAGCTCAACCACTTCTTCTTCAGTACCGGCTGCCATATGATGTTGAGCGCCTTTAGGGTTAGAGTTACCCAACACCCAAGTACAGGGGCCTTGGGTTTTGAACCTTGTCTTTGTGTTGTGTGTTTGTGTTTGTCTGTGTGTGTGGGGGGGGGATTATCGTCTGTGTGTGTGGGGATTATCGTAGTATAATCATTCACGTAAGGGTTATATAATGGGACCTAGTACCTATGGCTCACACTTCAGACCCCTGTATTAAACTCTGTGCGCGAAAAACCTGTGTTGTCAAAAGTTCTGCAGGTATGTGAACAATGATTCACGGAAGCATCATACCAGGAGACTCGTGGAAGTACCCCTCTCATTGCCCAGAGCATAGCAGATCAACACATATGCAAGTCGCACTGAACTAAGATCACCTTACCTGCTGAAACTAGAGCTGCAGCATAATCTCAGCTATCAACAAGCCCTAGCAAACAATGCGTGTTAAAATCACCAGACCTTGCCATCCAAGCTCTGAAAAGCTCCGCAACCCAAGTAAAGCCGAAACCGCTCACCCTAAACCCTGAGCCTAAACAAAACCGCAAGCGGCTTCCCAGCCCTTATACTAAGCCCTGATGGTACCCTTATAGTATCCCGGTTATAGTCCCCTTTTTGAGTATCCCCTTAATTATTGTACGTGTAGTATCCCTTCAAGGAAGACTTGCCTGGGAAGGCTTCTCGAAAGGGCGGCTCCGGTGCCAACCTGGGTTCTTGCTAAGGAACTTATATGAATTAAGTTACCATAACTTAGGGTTTAATTAAGGGTTCTTAAGGGTTTAAGGGTTAAGGAGC